CCGCAAAACTAGAATTCTGCTCCATTCTCATATTTTTGTGTGCTTATCTGCATGCATCCGGGCGACAGTCTTAAATCGCCTAAAAAAATTTGACCCATCAAAAATGATCTAAGGAACAATAGTCATCATTTCGTCATGATCGTTACAAATTTTTTGGCATTTTGAGGCCATAAAACTTGAATTCCACCCGATTCTCAAATTTTTATGTGCTATAGCCCACGCTATTTGCATGCATCCATACGACCGGCCCGAATCGCCTAAAATATTTTCGGCCAAATAAAAAATAACCTAAATTTTGTCTCTCGAATTTATAAAGATGGTGTGGACATTAGCACACGAAAATTTGAAAATGTCCTGAATTCCTATTTTATGGCTCTAAAACGTCAAGAAAACAAGGAACATTTATTTTCATTAGGTCCTTTCTAATGGAACCACAAAAATTTAGGCGATTCTGAGTCCGTCTCCCGAGTTCATGAAGATTGCGTGGACATAATGCGCACGAAAAATTAAAAATCGTCTGGTACCCCTGTTTCGTAACCCTAAAATGCAAAAAAAAAAAAACAAAGAAGGGTCGTGGAAAAGCAATGACTATTCATTCGGTCGTTTTTGGTGGGCTCAGAAATTTTTAGGCAATTTGGAGCCTATCACCCGAATTCATGGCCATGGCATTGACATTAGCACATGAAAGTTTAGGCAATTTAGAACCCGTCGCCAGGATTCCTGAAGATGGCGTGGACATTAGCAGATAAAAAATTGGAAATCGTACTGAATTCGTGTTTTATGGCCCTAAAATGCCAAAAAATAAGGAACGCCATGTTGAAACGAAGACTATTGTTTATTAGGTCATTTCTAATTGGACCACAAAATTTTAGGCGATTCAGAGTCTGTCACCCGAATTCATGAAGATAGTGTATACATTAGAAGACGAAAAATTAGAAATTATTCTGAATTCTTATTTTATATCCCTAAAACACCAAAAAATGAGGAATGGTCATGGTGACGCAAAGATTATTTCTCATTAGGTCATTTTTTATAGGCTCACAAAATTTTATGCGATTCGAAATCCATTGCCTGAATTCATGAAGATGACGTGGACATTAGCATATTAAAACTTTGAAATCATCCTGAATTCCTGATTTATGGCCCTAAAACACCAAAAAATGAGGAACATTCATGGCAAAGCGATGATTATTTTCCATTAAGTCGTTTCTGATGGTCATGTAAAAGTTTAGGCGATTTAGAGCCCGTCACCCCAATTCATGAAGATGGCGACTTAGGGGTGGGCATCGGTTGGTTCGCTAGGTTATTATAAAAGTACGGTTCGGTTTATCAGTTTTCGGTTTTGTAATATTAATAACCAAATCAAACTAAAGTATTCAAGGTTCGATGAGGTTTTTTCAAAGTTCGGTTCGGTTATTTCCGGTTTATATTTTCGGTTTCAAATGGTTGTAGGAACAACGAAGTATTTACAATTTGTAGGAACATCAAAGGTTATTGTCGGTATTATGAAGAGGATGGACAAAGGTGCTGTGATTGAGAACATTGGCGCCTGAGCTTTGCATTAAGGATATCATCCGTGCTTATTCTTTGAGCGACTTCGAGCTTCAGTTGTTGAATGTTAATGGCAGTATGGGCTTTCAATAGATATTGATGCGGTGAAACTATACATATTCTATGAAAGTGTTATTATTAAATCAGTGTTTATGGTTACCCTGATAATTTTTCTTTCTTTCACTTAATGTGAATCTGGGCAGAGAAGTAAGCTCATCAGACAATAAGTTACAAAGGTAATTACACATACAAACGTAAGTGATAGTAAGTTACTAAGTTTGGGTAATTAGGTTTGGGTAAATTGGGTGGGATGGGCTTCAAAAGGTATTGGACTATTGGACATTCGCATTTGGGCTTCAGCGGTTCAGCCTAAGATCAATAGATCATATCATCATAAGATGGGTAATACAAAAATTTCGATTTTTCGGTTTAACCGAAAATCTAAATACAAAAACCGTAAACTACACCAAAAATTAATAATTTTAAAACCATGCACCGACGAAAAATTGATTAAACCAAAACTGAAAAACCAAAATTCACGGTTCGGCCGGTTTTTTCGGTTCGGTCGGTATTATGCCCACCTCTAGATGGCGTGGACAATATCACACGAAAAGTATAAATTATCTCCTGTTTTATGGCCCAAAAATGCCAAAATCGAGGAATAATCATGGCAAAGCAATGTCTATTGTTCATTAGGTCATTTCTGATTGGCCTACAATATTTTAGGCGATTCGGAGCCCATCGCCCAAATTCATGAAGATGACGTGGGCTAATCATACGAACAATTGAAAATCATCCTAAATTCAGGTTTTATGACCCTTAAACACCAAAAGATGATTATTAATCATTAGATCGTTTCTGATAGATCCACAAAATTTTAGGCATTTCGGTGCCTATCCCGAAATTAATGAAGATAGCATGGACATTAGCACACGAAAATTTGGAAATCGTATAGATTTCCTGTTTTATTGCCCTAAACGCCAAAAAACAAGGAAATTCATGACGAAGCAATGTCTATTGTTCATTAGGTCGATTTTGATGGGCTCACAAAATTTTAGGCGATTCGGAGTTCCGTATCGCCAGAATTCATGAAGATGGTGTCGACATTTATAGCTCTAAAATGCCTAAAAATGAGGTACTATCATAGCAAAGAGATTATTATTATTCATTAAGTTGTTTATAATGAGCCCACAAAACTTTAAGCTATTCGGAGCTCGTCACCCAAAATTATGAAAATGACATGGACATTAGCACACAAGAAATTAGAAATCATCCGGAATTCCTGTTTTATGGTCCTAAAACGCCAAAAAATAAGGAACAGTCATGGACAAGCAATGACTATTGTTTATTAAGTCATTCTGATGGGTCCAAAAAATTTAGGCGATTCAAAGCCCTTCGCTCGAATTCATGAAGATGGTGTGGACATTAACAAACGAAAAATTGAAAATCATCCTGAATTCCTGATTTATGGCCCTAAAATGCCAAACGAGAGAAAGACATGGCGAAGCGATGACTATTGTTCAGTATATCGTTTTTGATTGGCCCACAAAAGTTTAGGCGATTCAGAGCTCATTGCCCGAATTCATGAAGATGGCGTGGACATTAACACATGAAAAATTAAAAATCCTCTTTAAATCATATTTTATGGACCTAAAATGCCAAAAATGAGGAACGGTCATGGCGAAGCGATAATTATTGTTCATTAGGTCGTTTCTGCCTTGTATTTTTCTTCTGCATTTTATGTTCCTATTTTTCCTATGATCTCTATAGTGAAACTAATATTCTCTCCTTTTGTTTTTTCTTATTATCTTGAGCCGAGGGTCTTTCGAAAACAGCCTCTCTACTCCTTCGGGGTAGGGGTAAGGTCTGTGTACATACTACCCTCCCCAGACCCCCCTTGTGGGATTTTACTGGGTTGTTGTTGTTGTTGTTGTTGTTGTTGTTGTAGGTCGTTTCAGATGGGCTCACACAATTTTAGGTGTTGTGTGATTCGAAACCTGTCGTCTGAATTCATGAAGATGGCGTGGACATTAGTACATGAAAAATTAAAAATCATCTTGAATTCATGTTTTTCTAAAACGCTAAATAATGAGTGACAATCATGGCATATTTATGACTATTGTTCAATAGGTGATCACCTAAAATTTTATCCGGATTGCCTAAAATTTTATCCGGATTGCCTAAAATTTTACCGAACCATCATAAACGTCCTAAGTAAATATAGTCACCACCTTTCCATGACCACCTAAAGTTTTGCTCGCCGATAAAAAATGTCCTATGTAACAATAGTCACCGCCTCGTCATAACTGTTACTCATTTTTTGGTATTTTAGGACCGTATAACTAGAATTACGCTCAATTCCCATATTTTCCCGTGGTATAGCCTATGCCTTTTGCATAGGCCCAGGCCACCGGTCCGGATCGCCTAAAATTTTGCCGCCCATCAAAAACGACCTAAGGAACAATAGCCACCGCCTCGCCTCGACCGTTACTCGTTTTTTGGCGTTTTAAGGCAATAAAACTAAAAATCCGTTCGATTCGCAGATTTTTGTGTGTTATAACCCACCCCTTCTACATAGGCTTGGGCCACCGGACCCAAATAGCCTACAATTTTGCCGGCCATAAAAAACCGTCCTAAGTAACAAAAATTAACCCACGCCTTCAGTATATCGTTTCTGATTGGCCCACAAAATTTTAGGCGATTCAGAGCTAGTTGCCCAAATTCATAAAGATGACGTGGACATTAACACACAAAAAATTGAAAATCGTCTTTAAATCATATTTTATGGCCCTAAAACGCCAAAAATAAGGAACGGTCATGGCGAAGCGATAATTATTGTTCATTAGGTTGTTTCTGATGGACTATCATAATTTTAGGCGATTCGAAACCCGTCGTCTGAATTCATGAAGATGTCATGGATATTAGTACATGAAAAATTGAAAATCATCCCAAATTCATGTTTTTCTAAAATGCCAAAAAATGAGTAACAATCATGGCGTATTTATGACTATTGTTCATTAGGTCATTTTTTATGGGCACAAAAATTTTTAGCTGATTCGAAGCCTATCGCCCAAATTCAAGAAGATGACGCGGACATTAACACACGAAAAATTGAAAGTCGTACTGAATTCCTATTTTATGGCCCTAAAACGCCAAAAAATAAAGAACAATCATGGGGAAGTGATGTCTATGGTTTATTAGGTTGTTTTGATTGGCCCACAAAATTTTAGGCGACGCGGAGACCGTAATCCGAATTCATGAGCATGGCGTGGACAAAAGCACATGAAAAATTAAAAAATTTCCTGAATTCCTGTTATATGGCCCTAAAATGCCAAAAAAGAGAAACAGTCATGGAAAAGCAATGACTTTTATTCATTAAGTCGTTTCTGATAGGTCCACAAAATTTAGGCGATTCGGTGTCCGTCGCACGAATTCATAAAGATGATATGGGCATTAGCAAATAAAAAATTAGAAATTGTCCTGAATCTTTGTTTTATGACCCTAAAAGCGCCAAAAAATAATGGTCATGGCGAAGCAATGACTATTGTTCATTAGGTTGTTTCTGATTAGTCCACAAAATTTTCGGCGATTCAGAGACCATCGCCCGAATTCATGAAGATGGCGTGGACATTAGCACACGAAAAATTGGAAATCATCATGAATTCCAACTCTAGGAAGATAAGTGCAAGCGGCTTCTTGAATAGATTTTTACCAGTCAAATCAAATGTAGCCAATTACGTGCACCAAAGGAGGAATGAAGAGGCAGCATCGCTGTCACCCTTGCTTAGTTCCATATCATTTTCAGTAGCAACTGCTTCTGAATGGAGGAACAGACTGGTTTGAAAAGCAGCTGCCGGCATATATTTGGGCCGCCCCCTCGCGAAGCAGGGTGAGATTCTTTCGTGGATCATCTCCTTTCTGGATACTGCAAGAGGTCAAGGAGGAATGGGAAGTAAAACCTTTTGTGATGAAGCTGTTATAATAGTCATAAATTTTGTACAGATTACTAATAAATGTCTATGAAAGTGGTACAACATACCTGCTCAGAAACAAATATGGTAAATGAACTTCATATAGAATGATTTCAATTATCTGCAACTACTTTCTGTCGAAACTGCAGATCCTCATTTTCTATGCCATTGTTCAAATTCTAAGGGTTTCTCAATGATCAACCTTTTGTTAGGAGTTTTCAGTTGCACTGAAATTTTCCTTGTTTTTCATAACCATAATATGTGCTATTCTTCAATATTCTGCATGCTGCTACATTCTACTTTGAGCTAGGTTCTTTTAGAAACTCAATTACCAGCATGTGATGTAATACTGAATATAAAGTCTACAAAAGGAAATAGTAGTTTCTAAAGCATTATAAATTAAAGTCGACTAGCAGACCTTTTCAAGTACTTACTAGGATTTTCCTTCATGGCATATTGTTGAATCTGAAAATATCACTGGGCAATTTACACCTCCAGCATGTGAAATTAGATTCATTTCTGCACTCAAGTAATGCACAAAACCTAATAAAGGAAAAGAGCTGGAGCAAAAGATAGTAGAATAAGGAAAACCATGCCTTCCACTGATAAGACAGATGAAAAATGATAAAGGACTAGTGCTGACAACCTTAACCTCTAATCCAAAAGGAAAGAAAGGATTTCTTGGTGGAATCACTTGTGGAGAAGGCTAGTAGCTCAGAACTATCAACATTGTGTCTCTAGATTAACAAATGTTCCATAACAGCAGTATGCCATATAGGCAAATACGCCCCAAAGAGCCGGAGACAGAGAAAGTTAAGAAAGTGCTAGAGCTAAAGCATTGCATCAGATCTGCTGAGGCAATATCGTTGGAATTCTGATATGCAATTGATGCCTAACGTAGATGCATTCATGTCTCTGTCACAAATTTTCATCTACACATCTTGTTTTCATAATTAGAACAAGCATACCTATGTTCTAAAGTGACAATGAAATCTGCTCCAAATGTCTACAGAAACTCTAAAATTGTGCAGTAGATCAAGTTTATTCGGCTGTAAATAGCTAATTACACACAAGATCATCCAAATTTTTACATATACATATATTTAATAAGAAAGGGAAGCCAGCTATAGCATTGACTATTCTGAGATATGAGAGCATACTATCACCTTAACGTGTTGCCCAAGAAATAAACTACCTCAATCTAGCACGTAAAAGAAGGGGGGCCTTGGTAAAGTTGTTGCTATGTGACCAAAAGGTCATGGGTTCGAGCTGTGGAAACACCCTCTTGTAGCTATGCATGGTAAGGTTGCTTACAATAGACCCTTGTAGTCCATCCTTTCCCCGAACCCCGACCCGCATAACGGAAGCTTAGCGCACCAGGCTGCCCATTATTTTTTAATCTAGCACATAAAATTTTTCCTTGACAGGCTGCTACATTGTGCACCATAACATGTATAACAGGTAAATTAACAAGTCAATTTCAGCAAATATGAAAATAATCAGTAACTAAGTAATCATATCATGAACCTTGAGAAACATTCCACATACCTGCAACAAAACTTGATAATCACTTGTAATCGCAACAGACTTCAAAAATAAAAAGTTCAAAATAATCAGAAATGGATTGGAATAATCATTACGAGACTAAAGAAATCACTGATAAAGTATGCAAAAGAAGTNTAAATTTGATAATCACGTGTAATCACAACAGACTTCAAAAATAAAAAGTTCAAAATAATAAGAAATGGATTGGAATAATCATTACGAGACTGAAAATCACTGATAAAGTATGCAAAAGAAGTAAAATTGTTAGAAGAAAATTAACAGTGAACGACACAGCAGCCATAGTTAAAATACTTCTCATAGCACAAAGTTATTAACTTCAAAATCAGAAATGCTTGTTAAACTCATAGTAGACATAAAAAATTAAATTAGTCCAATCAATTAAGAACACATTAAGCAACTTACTCTTAATGATCAATTTTAATTATAGCTATTTAGGGTTCAAAATTTGGGAATTAAATCGAAGCAGCTACTAGGATTTCAAAGGGGTTAATAAATTTACGATTTTGAAGAAAAAAAATGTACCTACTAAAAGAGAATCACCAGATTCTTAAAAAACCGTCGAAAGATCGCCGGCACCGGAAATTCAACTCAGATGCATGGAGATTAAGTTACTGATTGATACCATTTCTTATGCCATTCAAGAAGAATCACAAGCCTGACAAATATGTCAATTTCCAAAAAACGAAAAGAACATGCCCTTTTTAAGAAAGAAGTACTTTATTATAGGAAACTCGGGACATGATGGAAGACATATTTATCAGGTCTGTAATTCTCCTTATAATATAACAAGAAAATTGTATCGGTCAATAAGACGACCACCATTTCTACAGTAGGTCAACTTTGTTTTGTTCTAAAGAGCTACTTATATATAAGAGTATCAAAAGCTTCTATATACATTTAACAAGGAAAGGGATGCCACCTATGGTTTTGACTATTTATGAGACAAGGGAGAACACTATGGCCTACACGTATATAAATTGTAAAATTTAGTACGTAAAATTTCTCCTCGACGGTATGCTACCTTGTGCACCAAAACCTGATAACACTTCAGGATTACGAGTCTCCCTTCTCCACGTTGTTCAGATATATCATCATCATCATGCAATCTATTCCTTACATATACCAAAGATAATTGCAGAGTGGCCGCTTGTCCTCACACATTTATGAATCTAGAATAGCAGGACGTATCCAAACAGGTTTTACATTTGGAAGGGCTCTCGTTTCAGGAGAAACTCCTTCAAATGAGCCATCCGTATGTGAAAGTGTTGAAGGAAACCCAAAGTCCGCCAAGTAACAAATACAGAATAAGATAATACTGACAGAAGCTCAAAAAGAGCAGGTCAGTAACAAGACAATTTTATCAAAGATGAATATGAAATCATTTACTAAGCAATCCTATCATGGAGTTTTAGAAACATTTCCTTTTCCTGCAATAGAGCTTACTAATCAGTAAAATAATTCAAATCCATTTCATCTATGGTTTAGTGGATGCACTAGTAAGCTACATTAATCTTCTAACAGTTCGAATTTATATATAACTACAGCACAACAGTCAATAAATGAATAATTTCCAGAAAATACATTATCAAAATCTTCCTAGCTTCTTCTAAAAGCAATTTAGGATTCAAGATTTGGTAATCAAATCGAAGCAGTTAATAAGGTTCCAAAATCTGCGCACACACAAAAACAAGAAATTATCATGGAAAAGGATAAGATTCACTCAAAGGGTTAATCAATCTAGGGTTCTAAAGAAAAAAACAATTTCACCAACTCAAAAACATCATCGGAATCTTGACAATCGGTGAAAGTGCTCCAGCTTCAGCACCGGAGAAGTATCCGATCAATGACCTGTTCCGTTTTCCAACTCAGATGAATGGAGGTCCACTCACCGGTTGATAATACTTTCCATGCCATTAAAGGAAAATCACAAGCCTGGCAAATGTGTCTTTTCAAGAAAACGATATGACATTTTTCTCACATACAGGGCATTCTTTTGTAAATGAAATGACAAGTTTATCTAAACACCAGGCAATACTGTATTCTTTCTTTTAGAGATGGTCACACATATTTGTCAGGTTTGTCATTCTCCTTACATATAACATGAAAGATTATCATTTGATGAGACGGACCACCATTTCTAGCATCTAAGAAAGAAAAAGGAACGAGATTGATCGATCTGAAAATAAATAAACACGTGTTAGGGTATGAATCTTTCACCATTTATAACCAACCAGAAAGTGTGAAATGATGAAGTGTTTTCACTTGGCGATAAATGCATTTTACTACTTTTGAATAATAGAAGATTACATTAACTGAAAATAAACAAAGAGAAGATTACAATAATTATTTGGCTAAAGGGCACAGATGGTTATTGCAGACAAATCCAAAAAGGAAGATATTACAGTAATTGGTTAAGCTTCTTTTAAGTTAGAAAAATTAATCAACTTCAAACAAGGTGTTCACACTTAACAGTTCGGTTTGACTCGATTTTTAAGAAACATAAATTAAATTATTCCTATGCTAGGTGCAAGGTTCATTTGGTCGTTTTATCATAATGAACGAACAACTTAATTGTTGCCCAGGCATCTAATGATATTTCGTGCTGACTACAGTTCTACGAAGAATCTAAAGACTGTCCAATTGTTTAACCCAAAAGGAAAGAATGGACTTCAAACCTCAAAGTAATTTGAGGATCTTTAGCCTATAATTTTAGCAAAAAGCAATGGAGGAATTACCTCTGGAGGAGGCTATTAGATCAGAACTATCTCTAGAGGACTTTTTTTTTTTATTAGATAACTATGTTTACAACAACAACAGTATACCCAGTGTAGTCCCACAAGTGGGGTGTGGGGAGGGTAGAGCGTACACAGTCCTTAACCTTACCTTTAAGAAGGTAGAGAGGCTGTTTTCGGTAGACCCTCGGCCCAGGAAGATAACTATGTCTCAAGAGGAATAAATGTCCCATAATAGCCATATGCCATATACACCCTCAATGGGATAGTCTAGAAGTCGAAGAGAAGAGTAATGACCTTGGGAACCAAGGCTCGATTCTCAACGTAGGCGATACTATGTGAATTCTTCCTCTCTCTACAAGGGCACTTACTTGACAAATAGGAAAATGTAAGCACTCATCTCAATGATTATGTACAAAGTTTGGGATGCCAAACTCAAATTGTAACTTTTATCACATAAATAATCAATGGAGGCTCAGTTTTAATAAATTAAAAAAATAAAAAAAANCTGAATCTCAACATAGGCGATACTATGTGAATTCTTCCTCTCTCCCTCTCTCTCACTCTCTCTCTACAAATAGGATTGCATAAGCACTGAGCAACTATTACTGTTCATTACTAACTCTTATCCACAACATTCTAGGAACGAGTCCCTCAACAACAATGTTAATTGAAAAGCTTGCAACAATTTTGTCCACGTGACACGTTATGGTTGCAACACTTCAAAAAATTTCATGACCTTAATCAAATTGCAGTAGCATATCACACCTTCAGATTTTAAGTTTGAACTTTGAACATTACCAGAGTATTGAAGTTCTTTAAAAGGTCTCCTAATAAATTTCCACTAATTTCTGGCTGCTTGTTATTTCTAGTTTGTAAGCTTTCTGCCACAACATACTTGGTTTTATCTTGTCATACCAAGTTGCATAGAGTGACTTCTTTGAGAGTTCACTAGTTTGATACTTCTGCTACGTGGCTCCAGTATTAGTACAACAATTAAGAATTAACAGTCTTGAGTCAAGACATGTCACCAAGGTTCTAATTCTAGCCGTTCAGCTTGCTTTTAAGATGCATACTCACTAATAGATGTAATAAAAAAGAATACATCCAAAAGAGGCTAACATATAAGTAAAATAAGGCCCATAAAGTGTGAAGAACTGAAAACACCATAAAATTATTCCTATTCAAAGAGCATGGCTCATTTAAGAGATTCCTCATTATGAAGTGAAAAATCTTAATTGTTCACAGACATGCAATATTCATAGTTAACAATGGAAGTGCATCGACACAGACAACAAACAAGCTTTAGAAAACCAACAAAGATTAGAGGTTAAGATTGTCGGTATCAATCAGAATAATTAGAAAATATGTAGCGTCTCGGACAAGGAATTGTCAACGTGAAAAACCAAACCCAAAAGGAAAAAAAGGCATGTAAATCTTCAAAGTGTCTGAGAAGCTCCAAGCAATAAATTTAGTAAGCACAAAGTTGCAATCACCGGTATCATCTTTATGAATAATTTTCCATAATGACATAAGTCTGCTAAATCACGCTTAATATCATATTTAATCACAGGAAATGAGAAAATAAAGGACATGCTTCCCAACAAAAGAGAAGCAGCTCAGCAAGTTCTAAGGAAGTTAAGAACCTAACTTCATCTAAAATTGTTACATTAGGTTTCAATTAGATATTAGCAGGGTCTCACAGGATAGGTGCTGAAGCCAAATTCCAGGCTCCCCGAGAAGGAGAAGGACAGGGGTTGGACACAGAAAGTTAAGAAGGTGGTAGAGGTAAAACATTGAATCAGATCTAGTGAGGCGATATCATAGCAATTCCGGTTGGCAGTTGATGCATAACATAGACGTATTCATGCTTCTGTCACTCATTTTCGTCTACATATCTTATTCTCATAATAAGATCAAAGCATAATTATGTTCCACAGTAGGATAAGTTTATTCCATTCTATATAGCTACTTATATGCAACGGTATCCAAACCTCACCATATATTTAATAAGAAAAGGCACGTCAACTATAGCTTTGATTATTTCTGAGACAGAGCACAGTATGTATTGACAAGAAATAAACTGGTAGAATTTAGCACACAATACTTCTTCTTGACAGGATGCTAAATTCTGCACCATAAAAGGTATAACAGGTAATTAAACAAGCCGATTTCAGCAAATATGAAAAGTAATCAGTAACTAAGAAATCCTATCATGACGCTTAAGAAATGTTTCCTGCACCTGCAACTGAACTAACTAATCACTTGGAATCATAAAGGATTTAAAACCCAAAAAGTTCAAACTTTAGGAAATAAATGAAACTAATCATTACAATACTGAAGAATGGCCAAAAAGTATTGCAAAAGAAGTAAAAATGTGAAAACT